CTCCTACCTGCTGAGAAAGGACTTGATATTTTCTCAAGTTTCAAATTGCTACCACCAGGTTGTGCTACAACCACAGTGAGAGCTCTGGCTTTTTCCTTCCATGGTCATATGCCTAGTGCAGACAGTTTCTAATGATATTTCCCCCCCAAACACCAGCAATCTTGCCCCCCCCCCCGCCAAACAAACCTTCCTCATTTTCCTCCAGTACTAGTTTTCTTGGCTGAAGTTGGGACTTGTGAAAGTTATTTATTTTCACCATTAAAATAAAAACTAAATAACAATTTGGCAAAGAGAGAGAGGGAGAGAGAGAGAGAGAATGAAACTATTTTCCCCAGGAGTGACAAATTGCTCATGGCTTTGCAAAGCCAAAGGTGGCCTTGGAGAACCTGATAAGTGAAAAAAAGGGACGGTGGTGATGGTCATATTTGGCCTAAAATATATTAGAATAAGAGTTTTATTTGTGTCCACAAAGTAGAATAAGAGATTTATTTGTGTCTTTCTCAGAATAAAACTGTCCTTTGGGTCATTTATGTCTTTTCTGATGCCAAAAGTGAAGGAGGAGGGCTCAGTAGAGTAACTGATTTCTTTCCCCCTTATACAACTGTAAAATCAGAAAAAGAAACCTAAAGGAGGCCCATCAGCATTCAGTCAGTGTGGTCTAGTTGTTAAGATGCTAGATCTGGGCTGGGACACCCAAGTTCAAGTCTGCATTTGACCCCAGAGCGAGTTTGGGCTAGCCTCTCTCAATCAACCCAACCTATCTCAGAGGGCTGTTGTTATGGGGATAAAATTAGGGGAGAACAGCATTCATGCCATTTTGAGTTCTCATAAAAAAAGAGGGATCTAAATGTAATCAACTTCCAGTCCTCTTCCTTCTCCACTACAGTATTTGTTTTCCTGCAGCAAGTATCATTAATGGGGAAAAGAGTGTGTGACGCTAGCTGTGCGAGGATAAAGCCAACACAGTTTGAAAGGAATACACGGAGATCCCTATTATCTTAATTTGCTGCCCATTTGTTCTCCAGAGGAAGGGAAAGAGAGCGACACCCACAGAGAGAAAATACACCCTGGTCTTATTCTCATTATTATAAACCTATGAAAGTGCTGGGGGCAGATTTTTAATTCAGAGGTACTGAGGAAGGGAGGAGTGAAGAGAGGGAGGAGGCGGAGGAGGGACTACGAACCCTGAAAAAGCTGCGAGTGCCGTAGCTTAGAGAAAGAGAGCGCGCGCTACGCGGAGCAGGCTGCACTTCTCCTACTCTGCCTGACGTTCAGGGGAGAGAGAGCGAGCGAGGGAGCGAGACAGGAGACATTCATTGACATAAAAGTGAAGGCGCTCTCTCGGGCGAGATCGGGCAGGGAAACGAGGTCTAGAGTTCTTCCTTCTCTCCCTTCCGACTTCCTTACGCGTCAGGATCTGCGATTCATTCTTCTGCTCGCCCATTATTTATTCCCCTTCCCCTGATCTACTGAGAAATTTCTCCGCTAAAGAACTTGGATTTTCCCCTCTTTGGTGGGGGGGCGGGGAAAGGGAAGGATTTCCCCCCGTTTTTAAAGCCAAGAAGAAGGGGCCCGAATCGAACCGGGCTGAATGAAGAGTTCTTCCTAAAGCTGCTGTTAACAAACCAAACCATCCAACTTCAGCTGGAAGACAGCGGGTCATAGCAGCTCTAAGATCCGAGACCTTGGAAAGGAAAAAAAATGCACTGAAAGTTTTGGCAAACTTTTCTTCTTCGTCTCGGTTTTTGTTTGTTTTTTGTTTTTTTCGGTGCTTGTGTGGTGGTGAGCGAGCGCGCTCGCGTGTGGTGCCTTGCCACAGAGGGCTGGAGTGTGCGTGGAGAGGGGAGGAAAATCTGTTACAATTCGCTGTGCTGCTGGAATTGTTCTGGAGAAGCGCCGAATAGGAACCGAACTGAGCCGAGGACCTCGAGCGCGCGGCAAACAGAGGGGAAACTGCGTCTCTGGGTCTTGGAAGCCGAGCTTATGGACGGGTGAAACCAGAGTCTGAATTCTTCCCCCTCCCCCTTCAACCCCTCAGCTTGATCAGAGCGGCCGCCGAGGAAAGAAGAGGGCTAGAGAACCCGACCGAGCCAATCCACCCTCGCTCCTGGAATCATGAACTTTCTGCTCACTTGGATCCATTGGGGGTTGGCGGCGCTGCTTTATTTCCACAACGCCAAGGTAAAGGGGGTGGGCGGGCGGATCC